GAGCTTTTCCCATTTCTCTGTTTCCAGTCCCCACTTCTACAGTCTACGAGGAGGAATTTAGACAGTTTTCCAAACCACAGTTTAAGCTGTGTTTAAAAGCATGGGACTGAAATCAGTTAATATCCGAAGCTCTTCTCTTCCTTCCACCTCTTGCCCACTCCTTCCTGATGCACAGCACACACACACGCACACACACGCACACACACACACACACACACTCCAAGCTGTCGAATCATTTGTTTACATGGGTGTCTCATTCAAAATTACTTGCCTGGAAGAATTGGCTGAATTAATTGTGAAATGCTGCACCCGGGCCCAGGTGGCTAACAGCCAAGGAAAGAAGAAATGCAAGAAGAGAGGGAGAAAAGAGTGAAGACTATTTTGGACAGAGCCAGTGTCCTCCAAAATTCCCTATGGTGAAAGGGTGGCGTCCAGCTCAGACTGTGCCCTGTGTGGAGCTCGGATCCCACCGGATCCCACCCACTCCTGCCCAAGCTCAGCCTGTAGCCCCTCTGGTGTCTGCCCTGAGCTCCCTGGCCCCATGTTCTCTGCCACATTGGTACAAGGAGAGTTCCAACATCTCCAAGCTCCCCACCAACGCAACCACCCGTGTTTTTGCCACCTAGGAATCCACAGATGCAGGGAGACACAGGGAAGGAAATCAGCAATTATGGAGACCTGCTTTCTACACCAAGATACCGGGGGATTTCCAGATGTTACCTGGCTTAGTCCTCACATCGTCCTTGTCAGGCAAGCAGTATCCTCTGTCTTCAGATGAGGACGTTCGATTCAAGCTCACACAGCTTGTCAGCATCAGAGCTGCTCTTCCAATTTAGATCTGCCTTACTCTAGAGGTTACTTGTTCTCTTCCTGCTAGTGCTGCCTGAGCATCAGGTAGTCTCTCTTCCCTACCTACCCTGGAGCAACCCACAGCACAGAGGCCACCTGAACCCAAGCCAAGACCTGTGGACCTGCCCGATATGCTGGCCATATTTAGGGTGTCCTCAGTCATCAGGGGACGCTGCCCAACTCCAGCCCACCCTCTGGCCCACGTCTCTCCCCAGCCTGCAGCCCCACAGTCCCCTCAGATCTGCAAGGCCTTCCCCAGAGTTCCGCAGCCATAGGTGGAGACAGCTAGTGTGGCTCTTGGCAGCCCCTGCGGAAAGGCCAGAGCTGGTTCCCACTGCAGAACGCAGCCCCGGGTGTCCTGCAGTCTCATGCTGCTTTTAAGAGAGCACTCTGGGTGCAGTCTTGGGGAAGGGGCCAGACCCTAACGCTGCCTGGTCTGACTGGCATCCTGCAGGGCCCCATTCTTTCTTTCTCTGCAGAAGAAATCCTTCCCCACCGAGCCTCTCCTCAGTGGCCTCCCCCAGGAAAAATGAAGGAATGGGGCCAGGTTCCTGCAACCAAAAGCTAGCACATAGGCATCGTGGGCTCTTATCATTCCCAGCCTCCTGCACGGCTGCAGGCAGGGCTGTCTTCTGCAGGCGACTTCCTCTATTTCTTGGCCCTCTAAGCACAGACCTCCATCTTGACCCTCTTTGATTTTTTGAGCTGGGAAGAGCAAGCATGTTCAAAGGCACAGCAATGGTCAAAGTGCATTTTAGATACAGGAACCACTTGTATCTGGAAGGACGTAGAGGATGTCTGGTAGCATGGAAGAAGGGGCTGAGGAGAACCTAAAGGACCGCAAAGCCAGGCCAGGAACTGGGGACTTTGCCTCGGTCCCGGTCACAGCCACTGAGGGCTTTCAGAACAAGTGCTTAGTGACCTGGCCAAGCATGTGCTCCCCCTGGCATCTGGGCAGAAGTTGGGTTTACACGGAGAACCGCGGAGACTCTTGTAGACAGAAAGGGAAGAGAAGGTGGGGCTTTAACCCCTGCTCTGGAACACACAGACTCCAGACTCACCGGAGTGAGGCCCGTGGGGCCTGGGGGCCTTATTTAGGGTACACGGCAGGCCAGGAGAAGGAAGCAGTCGATGGTGTGGACAAGATTCCTGGCTGGGCACACAGGGATTCCATTAACCTTGAAAGAGAATCTGCGAGCGTAATCGGGCTGGGTGGGAGGAAGAAAAATCAAGAGTTCATTTTTAGACCTGGTGACATTTAAGGTGCCCAAGGGACGTGTGTGGAAAAGTGGAGATGTCCAGTAGCGACTGGATATACGGCTGCAGAGCTCAGGAGCGAGCTCAGGGCCAGTAACGTAGATTTGGAAGTCTTCGGTAATGGCGGCCTGGGGAGTCCTCTTGCAAATCGAGCATTCCCCCCACAATCCACCATCGGTGTTTTGGAAATCCAGACTTTCACACATCAGTTTTACTCTGAGCAAAGAAGTATAAGCCTTGCATCCCTTGTACGCCCCAGGCAGGAAAGGGGCTCAGCTGTCCCCATCCTGAACACTCGTGCTGCCTACACGAGGTGGTGATGGAGGACATCCTGGACCTCGCCTGGACAGAACCCAGTCCGAAGACCCGGCCTCCCTCAGGCACGGAACCTGGCCTGAAGACCCTGATGGGCACTGATTCTCCCAGCTTGGATCTCAGCAGCTGTTTCCTGGACCTACCTATCTCTGTGACATTGTCTTCCCCTCAAGACTGTAACACTTGCCAACAGTTTAAGGGAATACAGGCGTCTTCCTTCTCTAAACAGTGCCAGCTGACTTAGGCTTCTGGCAGGTCTGTGTGGACACCCTGAAGGCACAGCGCCCCAGCGTGTGACCACACGGCTGCCCATGACCCAAGTGTCGGCCAGAAGCACTGTGGTGACCTAGCAGCGGTGGAGAGCGACCCTGGGCCCTTCTAGCACTGCAGCGTCTCCACAACGCGTCCCCCACAAGCTACCTGCAAGGTGGAAATATTTTTAGGCTTTCCAGCAAGATTTCATTTCACAGTTTTTCTGAAAGGTTGTAATTAACAGCAGTGAGCAAAAGAATGTATTTTTAAAAATAAAAGTCGGGGGAAGGCGAGGGAACCAATCACCGCAGTCCCGTCAGCTCCTCTGGGTAGGTGAGCTCATGGCGTCCAGGTGGCTGGAGGAGGGGTGCAGCCTGGGGGCGCCGTCGCAGTCGGTCAGTGAGAGACACAGACAGGCACAGACGCTGCTGACGCTGCTTGGCTGGGTGGCGGGGCGACACCTGCCCTGCACGGTGCGGACCAGTGTGTGTCTCCCACAGCCTGAGCCCCAGGCAGGACGGCAGCGCAGAGAGGAATGGCCAGGATGTCATTGCTGGGTATTTTTAGTCTCCGGGGGCTTCCGGTGCCCCCGGCCAGCTTTCTCCTCTCCACGCTGTCCTTCTCCGCCCCCACAGAGAGCCACTGAGTCCCCTGCCTGTGCCTCCTTGATTCATTCCCTGCATCTTATTTAGTTTTATTCAAAGGTGGGATATTTTCTTCCCAGAAAAGGAAATCAGAGCTGCAGATAAGGTGACCTGGGTGAATGAGCCACCAGTGAGGGCTCTGCTGGCAAGGAGGGAGGTGAGAGCATTGTCCAAGGCCCGCAGAGGAGGACAAGAGGTCGGGAGGCCTGAGTTCATGCCCCGGCTCGGTGGCCAACCTGCTGAGAGCCCCCAGGTCTGAGCAGCACATGGATGGGAAGTGAAGCGGGACGCTGAGCCGATGCCCCTTCTCTGCTCACTGTCATCTGGGCATTCAGGGCACAGCACAGGGCGAACGAGCGCCCTCCAGCGGACAGGAGAGGCATTTCCCCGGCGCTCACCTGTCGTCCCCACCCTCAGGCAGCGTGGAGATGGTTGAGGGGCAGATGTCCCACGGGTCCAAGGATGCGGGGCTGCAGCTCCACCCAGGGGCACCATCTCGGGACCCTAAGGATTGCTGGTCTCCATCAAGGTTTCTTCTTTTGTCCCTCCTTCTTCCGTCTTCTTCCATCTTTCTTAGGGTGCACTGACAAGAGCGCTGGGCATAGTTGCTTGGAGCCATGGCTTCATCCCTCACTCCTCCGGGTCTCATTCTGCCCCTTGTAAGTAAGGGTCTTCGCACGAGACACCACTTCCGGCAGTCTGTGTTCTTCTGCCATCCAGGACTCAGTCCACTTCTGATTTAGTATAGATTAATTCACTGGGATTTGTTGAATCTCAAAGAAACGCATTTTTCCAAGAACCTAATCTCTTCCCAGACAGAAGTTCACACCTTGGGAGAAGCCAGTTCTGCCACCCTGTTTCCTGTTGAGTCAAAGCAAAATGAGATCATCAGCATTTGGTGGCTGATTCTGAAAATGAATAAATAAATGATCCTTGCTTCCAGGAAGTCAGCAAAGATTTGGAAAATCCTAAAGTCATTTCTTCTTGGCCCTAACATGTCTCAGAGTATTTTTTTTCAGAACAGAGGTAAATACGCCATCCCCTACAGTCACACCTAATCTCACCCCATTCTGAGCTCGCGGGGCTTCTCCTCCTCTCTGTCTCATCACCCTGGATCCTGGATCAGCGTTATTTTGAGCCCTCATTTTCTCAGCTGCTGGGACTGCAAGTTCCCTGCAGGAAAACCTGCCCCATATCCATCACTGCACCCCACAGGGTCCGGCACCCCAGAGTCGCAGTAATAACACTGTCACCATCATAAAGCCTTTCTGGTTTGCAAAATGCTCCAAGCACACCTTCGCTTTGGGGTTCCCAATCCTGCTGCCAACTGGAGACTTAATACTCTCTTCGCCACTGAGAACTGAGGTGTAGAGAGATTATGTGATTTGATTGCAATCAGGCAACTAGTGAATTAGAGACAGGTCTCAAACAATGATTTCCTGCCTGGGGTCCAGAATTCTTTCTGATAAGTTTTTCTAAATATTTGTGAATGAGGACTGAATGACTTAACCAAGTAGGTCACGTTAAACAGAAGATGACCTTAGGATTCTAGATGAGCCAAAAAGAATGAAAGGCACACACGTTTCACCTGGATTCCCAGTGTCTGTCAGAGTCCTAAACCCAGAGCTACTCTTGCTCCAATCCTGGGTTGACCAGGTTGGCTAATTCCACTTCCTCCTGCAGATTTTGACCGTGTCTGGACCACCCGAGGGAGGGACTCGTGTGACCATCCACGGCGTGAACCTGGGCCTGGACTTCTCTGAGATCGCGCACCACGTGCAGGTGGCTGGGGTACCCTGCGCGCCCCTGCCGGGGGAGTACATCATCGCTGAGCAGTGAGTGCCCCCGGCCGCCCTTTTCCACGGGAGCAGAGGGGCGCAGAAGGAAGGCACTGCCCTCTTTTGCTCTGTGGTGTACCCAGGATTCACCTCCCAGGGAACCTGCCCCAGGAGCCTCCCAAGTGCACTCCTACTTGACCTCTACCTCCTCGGGTGCTGCTCTGTTTGCTTCCCTGCTTCCTCTGGCATCAGGGCCCCGGTGCCCATACCACCCCTCATTGAGTCATTGCCTGCCCGAGGACAGTGCGGCTGAGCCAGCTTCCTGATAAGCTCAGGCTCCTCCTAGGCCCCCTGGGCCCCTCCTGCCCTCCCCATTGGAATGCGTCCTGCAAGGTGGGCTGTGGGCAACAATTTGTTGGGTGCATGGGGTTCTGATAGCAGCTTAATCCAAGCAGGGCCTCCGCAGGAGCGAATTCATTTATTTCACTAAGGGAAATGTCAGCTGGAAATTAGAAAATAGGCATGCAGTGGCAGGCAGGCGAGCAAGCGGGGCTCTGGGAGTGACATATGTTCCAATTTGGGGTGTTCATTTGGCAGTGGCAGCCACTGCGCATTGGTGAGCAGGAGGTGGGCACAAAGCTGGGGGCAGGAGGGTAGAGGGAAGGATGCTGCCCCTCCAAAGGAGAAAGGGAGGGCACCGCCAGATCATCATGTGAAGTTGGGCCACGCCACCCTGACTGCACCGAGAGCACAGCCAGCACTGCAGGAAGCAGGAAGGGCAAGAGCAAGTGCAGGACTGTGGGGCGGGGCTCCCCTCCCTGAGCCCCTGCTCGGCAGCCCCAGCCCCTGCCCTGAGCTCCCGAGAGCCCCTTCCACAGCAGCCGTGAAACTGACATCGATTTATCTTTCATCAGCACTTTGCAGTTAACAGGACACTTTCTCATCCACGATCTCATTTCCAATTGGTCGGGAGTCTGACAGGTAAATTACTGCTATTGCCACTTTTGCAAACAGGACAGCACAGGACTCGGGAGGTGAAATGACCTGCACGGTTCAGGCCAAGGCAGAACTGGGTCTCAAGTCTCCTGACCTTTGTCCAGGACGCTTCCCTTCCATGAAGCCGTGGGGCAAGTGTCCTGCACAGGAGGGGCCTGAATCTTCCATGACCCATCGGCCATGACTCCAGTGTGGGCCAGAGAAGGGGTGGGTTCCCAGCCATGGAAAGCTGGGGCCTCAGGCAGGAAGGAGAGAGCTGACCTGATTCTCCCTGTCCTCCAGTGCTGATCCTTCACTAACAACCTCATCCCTGCAAGGAGCAAGTCCTGGAGAAAAGGCTGGCTGGGCCTGCAGGAGAGATGGGGTGGGGCAGGATAAGCGCTTCAGAGCCAGGAGCGGAGGGGAAAGCGGCCAGGGCAGGGGCAGCCCGGCCTGCAGAGGGAGCAAGAGCCAGACAGACAGACCGCACTAGGCACTCGGTCGCAGTGACCTGAGCCCACCTGGCCTCCAGGACCTGCCTTGGGGACGCAGGCCACTTTCCAGCTTGTTCTGAGAGGTAGGAGGGGTCACACTCTGAGCTGCAAAGTACAAGTTTCCGGGCAGCTGGATGTGAGCTGTGCTTAGCCCTGGCTGATGTAGCGGCCAGCTCTGAGGCCTCAGCAGGCTCCTCGGTCTCTCTGGCCCACATCACCCAAAGGTGCTGGACAAATGCAAGGGTCTTTCGTTCTGTTATGAAGTCGAAGGTGATGCATTCACCTGAGCCACAGGAAGAGAAGGGAGGAAGCAAGGAGCTGGGAACGCCACCCTGGGCCCTGCAGAGGCCAGTGATGACCCTAGAAAGCCATGAGCATCCCCTCCTTGGGCCTGGGACAGTCAGGAGGCAGCAACACCCCCGTACCTGGCTGGATGCAGCCCGCTTTCCAGCCGTGCTAGGCTCATTAGGACTCCTGAGGTTTCAGAGTTCCTTAGCCTCATTAAAGCCTCCATCCTGGGCAGTGAGCAGCAGGCTCCATCGTTTCAGATGTCTGCAAGAGACGAATTTGGCTAAACGGGCTCAGTGCAGAGTCCCGGGCGCGGTGATGATTCACCATATGCTGGTGCCAAGCCATCTATCACTCAGCAATTAGGCTAATGGTGGTTAAAGGGCCTGCTTAGTCCTGTAATCAGCACCCCACAGGTCTGTGGAGGGCCTCGTGATTCTGCAGCAGGACCTTCTCCATCGGGGCCTGGGGTGCTCGTTAAGGCTGCTGCTCAGCCCTCCAGGACTGGGCTCTGTGTAAGGCGCCCCCAGCTCCAGCCCTCAGACCCCCGAGCTCCCCCTACTCCTCCTGCGATCTCAGGCACAGCCAGATGGATGTTAGGTCTGTGTTTCCTGTGACTGAAGGAAGCGTCCTCCCGGCGAGTCTGTAGGAGAAGGTGTGCAGTGGGACAGGGACCCGAGGACTAGAGGTCAAGCTGCTGATGAGCGAGGCGACCTGGAGGGAATCACTGCCCCGGGACCCTCCGATGTCTCATCTGGAAAGCACATCTGTAAGGAGCGATCACTTCTATGGCCCTTATCCTTAGGCTGCCGAAGCAGTGGCCTCATCGAGTCCGGAGCTCCTCCGTGAGAGGGCTGACGGGCACCAGTGTACCTCGAGAAGCCCCATCAGACAGGAGGCCAATCTTCAGATGTCAAAGCTGGCCAGGCGCTTTAGGCCATGCCCTCGTCTTGCTAAGAGAAAATGGGCATCTAGGGCTTGCCTCCTAATAACACGTAAGGATCCCAGAGCCACTGGGAGAAGACAAGGATGGCAGGAGACCCAGAAGCCAAACCACAGGACTGGGCTATGAGGCCTGTTGGGGGGGTGCGCCGTTGGCAGCTCCCGGAGCCCCGGGACGTCAGCCGCACCCCTGCATCCTCACCTCCACTGCTGCCGCCACTCTGCTCCACCCCCAAGGACGTCCAGAGCATCCTGTAATCCCATGCCATGGAGTGGTCAAAGGCATGGGCTTTGGAGTCCTGGTCACAGAGCCTTCGGGCGGCAGGAGCTCCCGTCCTGGGTGGTGGGTGGCCCCTGTCATTACGAAGGTCTGCAGTCAGTGGTGCTGCTGTGCCGTCCTCCACCGCCCCGTCTTCCTTTAGCCGCCCATCTCCAGAGCTCACAACATAAGCATCCACACAAACCCCCTGGGCCAGGCCTCTGTGTCCTTCCCGGGCCCAGCAGGGAAGGACAGTGAGACTCCGCCGCGTGGCCTCCTCAGGACTGTCGGTGCTTAGATCTCCCATGACCTCCTTTCCGGTGGCCGCTGCTGACCATGCCCTGCCTCACTCAGCCCGGACAAGGAAAGGGCCCGGCTCTGAGACGAGGAGGGCCCAGGGCCAGCTCTGCGGCTCCCTGCAGCCCAGCCCTGCCTGTGGCCCTTCCCACCAGGGTGCTTCAGTGGCCTCTCCCAGGCACCTGACCCCAAAGCTTACCCTGTGGGACCTGAACCCTGAGCAGAAAATTCCATCAGAAAGAGTCTGCCAAGTGGCCGCCCCTCCTCAGCTCCTGGGGCCGGCTGAGAGCACACCTTTCCCGGCAGCCTGCACCCTCGGTGTGCTCTCATTTTCCTTTCTCCCTAAACTCTCGCCAGCAAGGATTTCTTCTTCTTTGCTTCTGGAGGACACTCACTCCCACAGTGGTTGCAGGCCGCGCAGCCCCAATCAGACCGATTAGAACAGACAGAGAGGCGAAGCTTGTCTCCTTGCTCCTCTTCCCTGCCTCGTGCATAGTCCACTGCCCTCTGAGCTCCCAGGGTTAGGGGTGTGGGCTGGACAATGCCAGGAGCCCCAGAGGGAGCGGGTGCCAGCACCCCAGAAAGGGGAGGGAAAGCTCCACCCCGGCAGGTAGCATGGAAACAAGCACACGTCACACCTCAGATGAAGCTTCTCCAGCATGCCTCTAAGGAGGCTTCCAGAGGTGCTTCCGTGTCAGATGCTGATGGATGATCACTCTCGTGTTTATGCCTCTTCATAATTAATTTATTTATTCATCGAGAAAAGGAAAAGAGAATACTCTTCCATCACATTCAGGGCTTTCTTGTGGCATCTAATATGCTAACCGTAATAAGACAGTTATTGCATGTTAAGTAAATATTCGCCAGGAGTGAAAGTACTTATTTGGGATTAACTGTTATGAAGGAAAGGGAAGCCAGCAGCGTGCCGTGTGTGTGTGTGTGTGTGTGTGTGTGTGTGTGTGAGCAAACAGCATATTTGTTTGATGCAAATTTTATTACATTGAAATGAAGTCTCTGTTTAGTTACCTTCCTTCCTAGAGAAGCTGTTGAGATAGCATGGCTCAGGCCGACGCTCAGTCTTTCCCCCGGGCTGGGATAATGCAGGGGATTACAGAGAGGGCGTCTGTTTTAAACCTGACTACTCACTAAGCAAACCTACCAGGGGCCCCGGCATGATCGAACTCCTAACCAGGTGGGAGACGAGAAAACCCGTCCTGCCCTGCGCTCCCAGCCTGCTTTGCTCTGAGCCCAGTGGGGCTCTGTGGTTCCCCGAGGTGGCACCTACAGGAAAGAACCTCATTTCTAGTCCCGCCTTTCCCAGAGGCTGCTGTGCCTGAAGCAGCCAGGGCCTGACTGTGCCCATGTCACTGTCTCAAGCGTGGGGAAGCCACAGCCGGCATCGATCTGGCCGCTGTTCCAGGAAGACTGCACATGCGTCCCTGGGCTCCCATGCCTGTGAGACGTGCCTCCAACCAGGGCGGCCAGCCTCGCATGCTCAGCCTCGATTAGGTGGGAGCCCACTGTCAACTGCAGCCTAATGAACTCATCACTGCCTCCTCTTCTCTGCCCACCCCCGGCCGCAGGCCCCACTCCCCCACCTTGCCAGGTGCAGATCTGCCGCCTCACTTTCTGGACAGATTATCCATCCCCTTAACTCCCTGCGGGAAGCCGTCCACAATTGAGTCCACCTGGCAAGTAGGCCTTCCTCGGCGCCCTTTCAGGGGGTTAGGAGAAGAGGTCGGCTAAACTGCAGCCCTGCAGCCCTCTGTGGAACATCTGGTTTATGCTGCCACTCCTGGGAGCCTGCCCCAGAACGGCACTGGAGACCACAGGCCGGGTCATAGACTTAGGCCAGGTGGACCATCAGAGGCCTGGAGAGCATCAGAGGCTTTAGACAGACCCAGCCCCACCCCACAGCACGGGTGAGCGGCAAGCCCGTCGGCCAGGTGGGCGGCCGGGCTGGCTCTTGGCCCAGCGCTCTTGCAGGACTGCGATGAGATTAGGTGCTCACTGAGGACGGGGAGCTCGCAGGCAGGGATGGCCGCTCAGGACGAGCCTCTCACTCGCAGGTCTGCTCTCTCCCCAGGATCGTGTGCGAAATGGGCCACGCGCTGGTGGGGACCACCTCGGGGCCCGTGCGCCTCTGCATCGGCGAATGCAAGCCAGAGTTCATGACCAAGTCCCACCAGCAGTACACCTTCGTGGTGAGTGCAGGGCCAGCCGGCTGCCGCTCCCAGCAGGGCACAGGCCTCCTCCTCACCCTCCCAGCCAGGCTCCACCAGGCTGCCCACAGCCCACGTGGGAGACCCTGGGAGGGACGGTGGGGCCTCACCGCTGGCGACCCTGGGCGGGGTGGACGCGGGATGTGCAGGCTTCAGAGGCCCGGAGGGGCCGGGCCAGAGCTCTGGATAAAGCAAGGCAGTGGCGGACAGGGCTGCCCTTTGTCCCCGTAGTGTGACCGCCTTGTCCTAATTCCAGGCTGGTGAGCACCCACACTGTGGGGGACCTAATCAAACAGGTCTGTTTATCCGCACGCTGTGTCCCGCCAAGGATATTTTAAGTGCAGGTTCAGAGGGGTCCCTGAGACCAGCAAGAACAATGCCTCCCTGCACAGGACAAGCAAAGGGTGCACAAGCCAGCGGCCGTGTGTCAGAGCAGGCACACGCACACACATGTCTGAGAACACTCCTCATGCTCAGCCAACAGGCAGTGGCATCCCGTAAATTTTCTGCAAGGCTGGTGCTAAATCCACCCCGAATTGAGGACCCGCTTCTGAGGCCCTGGAGTCTTGGGCGCTGGCTTCATTCTGAATCAGTAACTTCCACCTGGGCCCTGACAGCTGGTGCCTGGCACTTACCTGCTTTGCCACACCGAGTGCCTCATTAAAAAGCATTAACACGGGCGCATGGGGTCAAACCAGCCTTGCTAAGAGTTGCGAAAAATCACTAGACCCCAGAATTCTGTTCTCTCTGAAGCATTTTACAGCTTATTTTAGGTTTTGCAGACCCTGTCTTCTCATCTTGGCATCTCTCTCTTTACCTTGCACTTTTCTTGCTCAGATTGGAGAATCCACTCTCCATCTCCTCCTCAAACACAGGAGGTCAGCTGGGGAGTGAGCTGTAGGCCTCAGAGCAGGGCGGGCTTTAGGGCCTTCCCACCCTCCTCAATCACTAAGGAAGCAAATCCTTGTCCAGAAGGAACCTGAAGCTTGCCTCTGGGCTGCCGGCAGTGAGGGGATGCAGACTAGAATTTATACCTGTGTGGTGGCTCCGTTAAATGTACTTTGCACTTCACTGGCCTCTAGGCAGAAGCAGTTCCTTTGTGATGTGGAGCAGCTGCCTGGCGAATCCTAAGCCAGGCATTACTTTTGCGCTTTAGGCTTAATGTTACGACTTAGTGCGTCCTCTAGGGAGTTCCAGCCAACAGAGCGCCACCCCCCGGTGAGGGGTGCAGAAGCCAAGTTGAACGTTTACTGTACTGGCGACTCCAGCACTGGGACCCTGGCCTGCCGGACAAAGGATGTGCACACAGGCCATTTATGGAGGGACACAGCCTCTCCATGGCCCAGCCTAGGCAGGGATGCTTTTTGCAGGCCTATAGATTTTATGCCAAAAAATCAAGACAAGCTTTAGATAGAGAAGCATTTTCAAATTTTTCTCAATTTGTAAACTAATTGACAGATTAGTCAGCGTCACTCTGCTTTCCCCTCGGTGTTATGAGCATAAGACTCCCCTGGGGAGTTCATTAATTCAGGCGCATGCCCCTCCGCCTTCCCTGGACGACTCTCCAGGAGGAAGCAGAGAGCACTTGGGACTACAGAGGGCCGGAGAAGTGCCTCCCCTCCCAGCAGGAGGATACTCCCTCCTTCCAGCCTGAAGTCTAGCCTTGGACCTAAGCTGTGAGCATTTCTTTGCCTCTTTCCCAAGAACCCTTCAGTGCTGTCACTCAACCCCATCCGTGGACCAGAGTCGGGCGGCACCATGGTGACCATCACGGGCCATTACCTTGGCTCTGGAAGCAGCGTGGCAGTGTCCCTGGGCAACCAGACCTGCGAGTTCTACGGGTGAGATGAACAGGAAGGCCGTGTAGGAGCCTGTGTGTCCCTACACATGTTCACACACTGCCCCTCCCCATCACCTCCGTGTCATTGCTACTTGGGCCAAAACGCTGCTCCAGCCACTGTGGGAGAGGCACACCACTCACTGGTCAGCTACGTCCTGTTTGTCAGGGGCTGGTTACCTCTCGAGGCCATTGGAAGTGAGGGTCATGAGACTGCCAGGTGGAGAAGGCAACCTGGAGTCCTGCAGTCACCACGAGGACCAAACATAGCTTGAGCTCCCACTCGGGGCCTTGTGCGCTGGGTTTTATAAGCACACAGACCTATGCATAAAGAATTGAAAGCTGCAGTCGTCAGCCACCGCCACAAGCCCTGGGCATGCAGAGGCTCCGGAGAACCACTGTGCTCAGGGCTGCCCACCGGGTGATCTCCATCTTGGACCATACGCAGCAAGCACCATGTGCTTGCCACTGAGCACACCAGGTCCTCAGCAAGTGTGTGCTGACAGCCTGGCCAGACTAAGCACTGCTTAGTCACATTCTAGAAAATTCCAGGCAAGTGGCACTGCTCCATAGCTCCTGCAGCCCTGCGCCTGCCCCACATTTTCTAACCCCCTTCCCCAGTGTGTGTCCTCCCTCGTCCGGCCAGGGTCAGGTCGCAGGTGCCAAGAGGGCGCTGGTGGACACAGGCGGCGGAGGTATGCCCCAACATACAGCCAAAAGCACAGCAGCCGCAAACCAGGAGATAAACTAGGAGCGGCGGCGGGCAGGGGGGAGAAGGACCAAGATGCCATGCGTGTCTGCACCCGTCCCCTCGGGGCAAGGGGACCCCGTTTCTAGCCAGAGGGGACCCTCGATGGCCCACACCTTTCCTCTCAACTTGTTGCCGTCTCCCCCTCAGGAGGTCAATGAACGAGATCGTGTGTGTCTCTCCCCCGTCATCCAACGGGCTGGGCCCAGTCCCGGTTTCAGTGAGTGTGGACAGAGCCCGTGTGGATAACAGCCTGCAGTTCGAGTACATAGACGACCCCCGGGTTCAGCGCGTGGAGCCGGAGTGGAGCATCACCAGGTGAGGCAGAGGCCGGCGGGCAGGCACCTGTGTCCCACACCACCTCCCTGCAGCTGTGCTGGCTCCGCAAGGGGTCCCTAGAGCTGAGGCCTGCTGTATCTGATGCAGCCTCTGCTTGTCCCCAGTGGCCACACCCCCCTGACGGTCACGGGCTTCAACCTGGACGTCATTCAGGAGCCAAGGATCCGAGTCAAGTTCAATGGCAAAGAGTCTGTCAATGTGAGTAACTGCTGGCCCAGCTGGCCCCATGGGCGCAGCTCCCTGAGTGCTGTGCTGTGCCCGGAGCGGTGGGTGAAGCACGGGAACCCCCGGATGCTGGAAGGGGGAGCTGGCCCAAGCCTCAGCCTGGAATTGTGGTCCCAAGTACCTGAGCCTTGTAAGGACCGCTACAGTTCCCTGTGCTTTCTTGTCAGAGGGTGACAGAGTGAGGGTGTGAAAGTCGTGGCGTTTGAGCTGCCACAACACCGGAGCCCCTGTTTGGAACACGGGCACCTTGAGGTCCATGAGAAGCAGTGGGGCGGGGGGGCCTCCCTGTGCTGCCGTTCTCGCTCCATTAGCCGCACGGTCACAGTGGCAGGCATTTACCCTCTCTGATCCTGCACTCCTCCGCTGCAAATATGACCGTGACAAGGCCGGCCTCACATCTCTGTGACATGCCCGGGACTCGGCTGGCACCCAGTAATGTCAGTCACCGCACGGATGCTTCTGACCCTTGCTGGGCACCTAGTTGTGGATATGACCAAGTTGAACATTCTCCTTTATTTCCCTGTGCAGAGCCATGTATTTTAACTTTTTTCCACTATGGATTTTTGTGACTTTAAAGAAGCCCTCTTATTCAGGCAAGAGCAGAATCTTCGCTATGTTGTTGTATAGTTTTCAGTCTTTTCTGATGGCTCAACTTCACTCTTTGCAGTCAGTATTTCCTGCAACATTTTTATGTTCTTAATTTAGACCAGAAGGTGCGATTTGGGTGATTATTTTTTTCATAGGAATTGCTACGAGTAGTGTTCTGACCTTCGGGGGATTGGCGAGCTACATCGGGGATGGGGGAGATGCTATCGGCTCTCTCTGCTTGTCCCTGACACGTCTCCAGGGTGCCGAAGCCCGTTAGGAAACACAGGGATGCACAAAATGAGACAGTGTGCTAGAAAGTCAGACCCAGAAAGGTCTCAGGAGTCAGCTGGGGAAACTGAAATGGCAAGCCCCTAATCACGACTGGCAGCAGGGTCATGCTGGATCCCAGGCATCCAGACTCTTCATGACTAGGCCGCAGGAAGTGCCGGGGGCTGGCGTTTGCACCATGACAGCACAGGGCGGCCATTGTCACTGCTGCAGGTGAGGTGAGCACACGCCTCCCCTCCCCAGCCTGCAGCCTGACTGTGGGAAGAGAGCCAGTGCCCCCTCATCCCCTGGCATCCAAGGGCTCCGGGAAGCACACACATGTCCAAATGCCAGGGCCTCAGGCAGAGGTGGGGTCAGGAATGGGTATCGTGCACTCACACCCAGAAATGATAGACTCTCCAAGAAAATCATGTGCATGCTTTCAAATACAAGTGTTCTCATTTTATTCAGACTTTGCAAGGCCAGAGTATGGGATATGGTGTTGATTCTCACAAGTTAGACATGAAGAGAAGGAACCATGCCATGCCACGCGGGTTCCTGGGGCGGCAGAGGGTCAGCCAGGAGGCGAGAGAAGGAGGAGAATGTGTGGCCAGAGCCTCTTCTGCAGGCTCCACAGGAAGCGGCAGGCACAGTGGGGCCACCCGGTTCAGACTGGCTGGTTCGAGCAGTTCCAGCGGGCTCTCTGCAGAGGGCTGTCCCAGGGTCTGGCACCAGGCCTGGGGCGATGAGGGCAGTGGACAGTGACTGAGAGGGCCAGATGGGGTGTGAGCTCGCTCCCTGGAGGCCAGCCCCGTGAGGACAGGCTCTCCCTGGCCAGTAAACACCGGAGTACAGAAAATAAAAGCCACAGGAAGGCACCATGGGCAGTTTGGAAAGGGAGTGAATGTGTGACCACCCAGGAGGGCAACTCCCAAAGGCTGCATGCAGGCTTTGGCCTCAGAAGCCCTTGGAAGAGGAGACTGAGCAGAGCCTCACCTACACCGGAAGTCTTGGCGTAAAGCTCAGGCTCTGGGTCCCCTCTGCCCTCATGAGGACCCAGCAGCAGCCCAGCAGGAGCCTCACTAGCACTGCTCCCAGCCCCGCTGAAGCAGGAAGGCAGTGTTTCTAGGAACCGAGAGGTAGCTGCACGCTCTGGAGGGCTGGCATCCCCAGCTTCCATGTGACCTGTGGGGAGGAGAGGCAGGTGGCCCCACAGCGCCCCTCCAGCCGGGCCATGCTCACAGCCTCTGGCCCGTACTCTGCTGCAGGAAGCTGGGTCCATTGGGCCCTCCCTCACCCTCAGCCCACCTGGGCCGCCCCTCCTTGAGGCTGGGTTTCAGAGCAAGCCCAGTGGATGGTGAGGGGCAAGAGCGAAGCCACAAAACCCAAAGGACTGTTTGGCGGACAAAGTGCCGAAGCAGACAGGGCAGGAAGCACATAGAGGCCTCTTGTTTGGGACTGGTCTGCTTAGCCAGGGAGCACCCTGGGGTGGTGAACCTGGAGGAGGGGCTGGAGGGGCACCCGAGGCTGGGTGTCTTCTCTGCACATTCCACTCCCTGGGGAACAGCATCTCTGTTCTTCCCATGACTCGGTGTCCCCAGCTGCAGCACGAAAGGGACATTAAGGCAGCGCCGTGTTCGCTGAAAGTGGCAGGAACCGGTACTGACACCTTCGGCAGTGCGAAGCTCAAGAGAGCTACTCTAACCAAACTCGAGCTCTCTGGGGAAAGAGAGGGTTCAAACCCGGACTTGAAGCTCTGACATCCTCTCTAGACACAGTCTCTGTGCGACTGGCAGCTTCTTCGCAACTACACACACGGTCTTGTTTGAACGTGAAGCCTCATGTGTGCATTGTCCAGACACACGTGTGTGCGGCCTGCCAGGGCAGCCTTGCCGGGCAGTGTGCACTTTGGGAGTTGCCCTTGGCTGCTCCTGGACGCCCTGGCTCCCAGAACAGAAACCAAGCTGTGCCGGGCAGGAGCCAGGAGGAGAGGGCAGGAGGCTGGGTCCTTCTGTGGTCTCTTCGGTCTGTCCCCCACCACGGCAGCCCTGGAAGTGACCAACAGGAGAGAGGGCACAGACCTCCCTAGGCAGGGGCCACTCCTGCTAGAAGGGTAAGTGGCGGGCCAGAGTCAACGAGAGAAAGGGGGCACAGTAAGCTCAGTGTCAGTTCCGATCTTCTACCCTAGTGCAGGGTTGGGGTGCACAGTTAGAGAAGAGAGGGGTCCTAAGTCAAACACCCAGAGTTGCAAGATCCTGTTTAGCCATCAGTTCAGTGCACGTATACTGAGCACCTACTACGCACAGGGCAGAGTTCACCTCACACTGTCTCTCTCTCTCTCTCCTCTCTCTCTCTCTCTCTCTCCAGATTATAGGGCATTCCTTTCTGCTTGCTCCACTTCAGCACCAGTGCACACACACACACACATGCACACACACAGGAACACACACACAGATGCACACTCCTGCATACTCCCGGAGTATGCACTTGTGGTCTCCAGCCCCTGACAGGACCGTGTGGTGATACCACTTCAGTTGTCCATCTCCCTGAGTCTCTTTCCCTCTGCAGCCCTGACTCCTAGCTCAGGGCCTGGCACACAGCCGGCTGTCAGTGGTGATGAGTGCAGAAAGGAATGAGGTCAAAAGCTCTCCCCCGACCCAGAAAAATGCCACTGCCCTTCTCCATAAGGCCCCGCCACGTAATACCAAGGAGCCTGGGATGCCAGCCAGACGCAGGGATGGGAGGTGGGCCTGGGATGCCACTCCTGCCCCCTAGTGCTGGGCATTCGAACTCTGCTCTCTGGGCCCCCAGGTGTGTAAAGTTGTGAACGCGACCACCCTCACCTGCTTGGCGCCCTCTCTGACCACCGACTACCGCCCTGGCCTGGACACCGTGGAGCGGCCCGAGGAGTTCGGCTTTGTCTTCAACAACGTCCAGTCCTTGCTGATTTACAACGATACCAAGTTCACCTACTACCCCAACCCGACCTTCGAGCTACTCAGCCCAACCGGCGTCTTGGACCAAAAGCCAGGGTCGCCCATCATCCTGAAGGTAGGGAGCGACAGAGAGCAGCCCGTGTCCTGCCTGCTGTCCCTGCGCCTCGCCATCTGCACGCGGAGCCCAGAGCCACTGTTCCCCGGGGGAGGGGCCCGTTTAGAGACCCCGGCTGCGCCCCCAGGACACTTTTCACGCTTCCTGTTCGTTCCGGGAAGCTGACTTGGGAGCAGCTGCTTCCTTTCTTGCGGAGCCACTTCCGTGCCTCGGTGACCTCCAGAGGTCCAGGCCTCCCTCGTGCTCTCTGCCCGGGGGTCACCCCCACCTCTGCGCGCCAGTGCCTCCTGAGCTGCCCTGACTTCCCTGTTGGTGGGTGTTCCCCACCCCTGCCCCGTCTTCTCCCGCCCTTATCTCCTTTTCGCAGCCTCTTTCTCTCCACGTGACGGCTGCCGATGCCCCCACACCCCACCACGGAGTGGTCCGTTGGCTTTGCCCGACCACCCTTCCTTCCTGTTTCTAAGAACACATCTGTTCGTCCTGTTGAGCCTGCTGTTCTCTACAGGGCAAGAACCTCTGCCCTCCTGCCTCCGGAGGGGCCAAACTCAACTACACAGTGCTGATCGGGGAGACGCCCTGCGCCGTCACCGTGTCTGAGACGCAGCTCCTCTGCGAGCCTCCCACCCTCACGGGGCAGCACAAGGTCACGGTGAGCAGCCCCTCGGCTTCCCGGCCCTCCCGTGCACACGGTCGGATCGGTGGGTCCTGAAGCTCCCCCTTCGCCTCGCGGCCCAACCCACGCCCAAGCGCCGGGGTCCTTGTCGTCCCGCTCCGCAACGGGGCGGGGACGCCAAGGCGGAAGCCACTTCGTGCCAAGCCCGCGCCAGCTGGCCGCGTGTCTGTCCCCGCTCGCGCTGTACGGTCGCGGGCCGCCGGGCTGTGCCCTCTGTGCAGCGTGCGCGCGCGCGCGTCTGTGTGCGCAGGTCCTCGTGGGCGGGACGGTCTTCTCGCCCGGCTCGGTGAGCGTCGTCTCGGACAGCCTGCTGACCCTGCCTGCCATCGTCAGCATCGCGGCCGGCGGCAGCCTCCTGCTCGTCATTGTCATCATGGTGCTCATCGCCTACAAGCGCAAGTCGCGGGAGAACGACCTCACGCTCAAGCGGCTGCAGATGCAGATGGACAACCTGGAGTCGCGTGTGGCCCTGGAGTGCAAGGAGGGTGAGCACGGCCGGCCACCCACGGACCTGCCTTGCCTTTCCCCACCCCGCAAACAACCCCATCTGCTGCCGCCCTCCACACGGTCCTGACCCGGTCTCCCAGAAACTCCCTCTCCTCTCCCCCAAGCATTGCGTGAAGAAGGCTTCTCTGTGAGGACCCAGGGCCCTGCCCCACCCGGCCTCACTCTGCTGTGACTCGGCCAGCCCCGGGCCGCCTCACCTCGCAGAGGGCCCCAGGCTTAGCACAGGCGTCTGAGCAGTGAAGGAAAGCCAGGCGAGCCCTCCCTCAACTCCCCAGGGTTTGTTTTCTATCCGCTCTGCAGGCTGAGCCTTTGCTCCGAAGGCCACGCTGGGAGCAGCTTGGGCCGCGCCTGTGAGCAGGGGCAGCAACTGTGTTTCCTCCCATGTCCCATGCAGCCACAGCCCTGCGGTGACGCCTGTACCTGGCGTCCTCTCCAGCCTAGGACCTGGCAGGTTTTCTGAGTAAACATCTCCATTAGAAATCAAAACATGTCTCCTTTGCCGCAAACAGCATTGTCAGAAACAAGGGCTCTGCTGGGGGAAAGGGAAGAGCCCTGCTGGGAAAGGCGGGCAGAGAGAGGCTCCTCCTGACACCAGGCCTGCAGAGCCTGGGCCCTCAAAAACGGAGCTGCCACCAGGGCGAGGCTGCAGAAGCCTGCACTGCCGACTCGCCTGTTGGCCGAGGGCCCCAGGACCAGGGCTGCCCCAGGAGTGGCGTCTTGGTTATCCTCTTGCTTGGAAACAGGCAGCAGTTTGCCTGCACTGGTCTTTGTTGTATCTCCCAGCCATTTCTTCCCGTGCTTTTAGCACCTCCCAGACCTTTACCAAATGATTTGAGTATGGTGTCTGTCCTTCTCCTTCTTTCTTTTTGCCACACTGCAATATGTACAAAGAAAATCAAAATCAGAGGTAAGCATGGAAGAAAAAATAAAATGCAAACCAGCCATCTTCTCATCAGCTAAGGAAGGCAGCGTGTGAAGCGCTGTCACTGTGACCAGTACCTCAGCGATCAACTTTAAAGAGGAGAAATTTGGCTCACCATTTTCAGGGCATCGGCCCTGCTGCTTTTCAGCCTGTGTTGAAGCAGCACACCTGGCAGAAGTACGTGGTGGAACATGACTGCTCCTGTCACGGCCAGGAAGTGGAAGAGCAGAAGAGGGAAAGAGGAAGGGGCTCGGGTCCTGAATTAGGCTTCTTTTCTTGGCTAGGACTAAGTATCTGACACATGCGTCGTAAAGGAGTAAATGTTTATTTTGGCTCATGGTTTGAGACAGTTCAGTCCATGTTTGGCTGCCTCCAAGGCAAAACAATGGGAGGGCAGAACAGACTGGCAGGGGAAAGCTGCTCAACTCACAGCAGGCAGGAAGAAAAAGAGAAAAGAACGCGTCAGCGCACGAGTATATCCCCAGAGCAGTCTGGACAGCTCCCCTCCGGCAGCAGGGCTGCACCTCCTCAGCAGCACATTCACTGCTGCACCCATCAGGGTCTGAGCACAGGTCCTGGGATCCAGTGACCCCAGACCTCTGAACACGTGAGCTTTGGGGGACGCTTGTTAGATCCAAACCACAACAGGTCCCCACTGCTTTCCCAGGGCCAGCTTCCAGTGACCCGAAGACCTCTCGGAAGGCTCTGCCTCTTGAACTTTCCACCACCTCCCACTGGCACCAATCGGGAGCCCAAGCCTTTACTACACAGGCCTTTGGGGGAAGCAAAATCCAAACTGTAGCAGGCTTTCTAGAGATGGCTCTGTGCCCGCGCAGAGATCTGCCCCCAACCCTCGCTGTCTGCACCTCAGCCCTTTCCTTCTCCTCGCCATCCTCTCCCCTGCCTGGGGCTCCCCTTGAGTATCCCTTTACTCACTCTCACAGCTTTCGCTGAGCTCCAGACCGACATCAATGAGCTCACCAGTGACCTGGACCGCTCAGGAATCCCCTACCTGGATTACCGCACCTATGCAATGCGAGTACTGTTCCCAGGCATTGAGGACCACCCTGTCCTGCGGGAGCTGGAGGTAAAGCCTGTGTCCCTGCCCAGCCACCTCGCAGGGCCAGGGTTCCCAGGAAGCCCAGCTGGGCCAGGGGCCGGGGTCAGGTTAGGGGTGTGCGGGCTGACGGTGCAGAAGAGCCTTGTGGCGCTAGTGCAGTCGGGGAAGTCAGCCATGGGAGCACCGGGACAGGGGATCCAGGCACAAGTCCAGGGTGAGGCTTATTGTTGGTGGACTTTTAACTGACGACTGAATTAATAACAAAAATCCTAGGCCGGGCATGGTGGCATGCCTGTAGTCCCAGCACCTGGGAGGCCGAGGCAGGAGGATTGCCACAAGTTCAGGCCAGCTTGGGCTACATAGCAAGATCCTGTCTCAAAAAAAGTTAAAAAAAATAACAAAAGCCCTGCCTCACTCTGAATTGGTTTAAGGTGGCTTAAGAAAGATATAGGATTTGTGCGGTTTGTTCATTCCTTTGTTTGTTTGTTTTACTGAAATTAACAAGTCAGGACCAGAAGTTGAGGGGAGTCTGATGGGCTTTCCCTTGGGGAGCCCCCGTTGTTCTCTCAGAGAGCTGTTCAAGGGGCCTCGCCACCCCGGTCTGGCGGAGAGTCAGAGCGGCCGACCCGAGCGGGCAGCGTGGGTGGGCGGTCCGGTGGGCGTTTCCACGCCTGTCCTCAGCAGGCCCCGAGAGAGCCTGGCTAAAAGCGGCCTCGCCCCGCCCAGGTGCAGGGGAACGGGCAGCAGCACGTGGAGAAGGCGCTGAAGCTCTTCGCCCAGCTCATCAACAACAAGGTCTTCCTGCTGACCTTCATCCGCACGCTGGAGCTGCAGCGCAGCTTCTCCATGCGCGACCGCGGCAACGTGGCCTCGCTCATCATGACCGGGCTGCAGGGCCGCCTGGAGTACGCTACCGACGTCCTCAAGCAGCTGCTGTCCGACCTCATCGAGAAGAACCTGGAGAACAAGAACCACCCCAAGCTGCTGCTGCGGAGGTCCGAGCCCAGCCGGGCAGCACGAGGGGCGGCAGCATCGGGACGGGGACCGGCCTCTCCCTAGACAGGCACCCAAGCCACACGGGGGGAGGCCGGTCCCCAGAAGCGGCACCACGGGGCACGGCCTGTGTCCACGGCCTCCCAGAGCGGAGTCCGGTCCCGCAGTCCTGACAGACCACAGGGTCCAGGGGGCCGAGTGCACGTGGTCTGCGCGGGACACACACACACACAGGCACACGCACACGCACGCACGCACACACCCCGCCGACCTTGCCGCTTGCTGGCACCTTACTTAGGCTCCCCGTGGACACAGTGTGGTGACATTGCCGGGTCTTTCCCTCCCCCACCTCTGGAGCTGTGCTGTCCAGCACCAGGCCACTGGCCATAGGGAGCGATTAACTAAAGTGAAATACTAGGCCGACTTCACTAATCTGATGGTGCTGGCCGCGTTCCCAGTGCCCAGCTGCCCAGTGCTACCTGTGGCCAGTGGCCGCCATGTTGGACAGCACAGACAGAAATCATTCCCAGCCCTGCTCCCATTGCCTGGCGCTGAGCTAGAGGTACGGTGCAGGGTCCGTGCCCAGCCTCCAGGTTGGAATCAACAGCATCTACCACCTGCCCCACTTGCCACTTTCCTGGCCTGGGAGAGGGCTACAAACCTGGATCCCCTTCATCCACCCCTCTGGAGGCCATGGGGGCTGAGCACAGCCCTGGAGCCCCTCTGGGCAGCAGGGGTGGGAACAGCCACCTCACCCCTCCTCCTTAGCTTGCTGCTATCTAGGGCCCAGGCTTCCAGGGCCTGAGTGGGGTGAGCGTGGCTTTGTTTTATGAGCACTGAGCCCCCATCCTGCCAATCTGAGCATTAGAAACTCTCATTAGGATCTGTTGTATTTAAATTAGAGCTAATCTCAGGCACAATGCAGGGAGAGGTTGCTGGGAGGGCCCAGGGAGAAAGCTACAATTTCTTCTGCCATTGTCACTCTCTCCCAGCCCCAGATTGCTGAGCGGCCCTGGCAAATGTCTGGGATTTACAGCTACTTGAGGGTATAATTTGCACCACGTGCAGGGAGTTAGAATACCCCTCTGGCAGGCAGGCTTTTCCATCACCAAGGTTCTGTCACAGCAGCTTTGTTTCTTCCCCAGTCCCCAGATTCGCAGCCGGGGAGTGGGGGATGCTTGCAAAAACAGATACCCTGTTGGCCAGACTCTTAAGCACTGCCTTTACCTGCAGGGCTGGATCCCAAGCCACACAACAGCAGTAATGGTAGCTCACGTTTACACATCCTGTCCTGGGGCTGGTGCTATTCTTAGCACTCTGAATATCTTAACTCTTTCAGCCCCCAACAACACCTGTGTGAGGTAGACACTAAGACTGTGCCCTTTAAAAATGAGGAAACTGAACCCAGAGAGGCTAATGACTTGCCCACGGTCCACCACTAGCTCAGGGCAGAGCCAGGATTGGAACCCAAGACAGTCTGACTGAGTGTTTGGAGGGGCAGGTGCCAGACGTGCAAGACAGAGTATCCAGGTACGCAGGAACCACCCTGCTCACCACCCTGAGGCCGGAAGGCAGTGGGGGGACTGCAGCCTCTGCCTCAGGCACGGCCGCAGCAGTGTGGGATGGAAGGCCTCACCCACCGTTTGCCCCAGAAACCCAAGCTCAGAAAGAGACTCGCACTCCGCACCCTGGTGCGGCTGGGCTGGGACCTGGTGCCCCCCATTTTCTCAGGCCCCCAGAACCAGCTCAGGGTCCACTCTGAGGCCTGAATAACAACTGCGCCTCCTTGGCCTCCCCAGGACCGAGTCGGTGGCCGAGAAGATGCTGACCAACTGGTTCGCCTTCCTCCTGCACAAGTTCCTGAAGGTGAGGGAACCCCAGCCCTCGGGGCTGGCGCCCAGGGCCCCTCCGCACCTCCACACCCCAGGGGCGCCCGGAGAGGGGGCGCCCAGAGAGGAAGGGCCCGGCCCACACTTCCCGCGCCCGCTGTGCCCACAGGAGTGCGCGGGGGAGCCGCTCTTCATGCTGTACTGTGCCATCAAGCAGCAGATGGAGAAGGGCCCCATCGACGCCATCACCGGCGAGGCACGCTACTCCCTGAGCGAGGACAAGCTCATCCGGCAGCAGATAGAGTACAAGACCCTGGTGAGGGCCGGCTCCTCCCACGCTCTACCCTCCGCCCCGAGCCGGTCCAGTCCGTGGGACCCGCAGAGCCGGCCGACAGGTCCGGGAGCCGCGGCTGTACTGTTTGTATCGAGGACGAGGCAGCTCCCTGGTTCCTTTCTCCTGCCTCAGCCCGTGAGCCCTGGGGACTCTGCCTCAGTTTACTGTAGGCAATACTGGGGGACAGGAGGTGAATCTGCTGATTCCCGGTGCAGAAGCTCTGGGGAAAGGGGAGCCCAGCCCCTGACCCACCTGGCACCGTCCCCAGAGCCCTCCCGGGCATCAGCCCAGGATCAGTCTCCCCGCGGCCATCCAGGAGCTAGAAAGGAGGGGCGGCTCGGTGATGCAGGCTCGAGGCACAGGAGAGAGCTGCACCTAGGGGGCAGCTGAAGAAGACTCCGACTCCGAGGCCTCCGGCCTCCCACCCGGCACTGCTCCCTCAGCTGCTGACTCGCGCCCCACTTGCAGATCCTGAACTGTGTCAATCCCGACAACGAGAACAGCCCAGAGATCCCGGTGAAGGCGCTGAACTGCGACACCATCACGCAGGTCAAGGAGAAGATCCTGGACGCCGTGTACAAGAACGTGCCCTACTCCCAGCGGCCTCGCGCCGTGGACATGGACTTGGGTAGGAAGCCCGGCTCTGGAGTGTGGGCGAGGGGCGCCCCTGGAGGGCAGGGCACGCCAACCCCCAGCACAGCCTCCTGGAAGGTGTCTCCCAGGGCCCGGGCCAGGCGGGGGCCCTGGGAAGGACTCCCCCCAGCTGCCGTGGGCACCAGCACCAGCACCAGCACCGGGCTCCGGGTTACCAGGGTTGCCGGGTCCCTAGAGCAGGCCCGGCTGGGCGGCCCCGCCCCTCACTGCGGCCTGCGCCGCCTTCTCCCCAGAGTGGCGCCAGGGCCGCATCGCCCGGGTGGTCCTGCAGGACGAGGACATCACCACCAAGATCGAGGGCGACTGGAAGCGGCTCAACACGCTGCTGCACTATCAGGTGAGGCCGGGGCGGGGCCTCTGCTCAGACAGGTGCTGTGCTCTGGGCTGGGGTGTGGGACCTTCAGCCCCCCAGTGATCCCTGCCTCCTAATCACTGCAGCCTCGACCCCTGTCAGTGGGTTTGGTGCCTTTTCTTCCTTTCCCGGGATCCTGGAACAGGGCTTCTCAGCTCCTGGTGTCCCCTAGCTTCACTGGAGGAATTTAGACGAACATGAGTCTTAAGGCCCCACCCTCACCCTCCGAGCAGGTATAACTGTCCAGGCCAAGGCCAGGTCCCACATCTACAGGAAGGCCCGCCTGTGGCCGAGCCCTCACCCTGTGACCAGTGCCTGAGAGTGCCTGGCACCTACTCTCTCTGGTTTCTTGCTCTCTGAGCTTCGGGTTTGCAGGCAGCAGGGGAGCTGACAGGCTTGTCTTCAGGTTCTGCCTCTCACCACCTCGTGTCCTTGGAAGAGTTATTTCAGCTGCCTTTTGCTTGGAAAAGGGGGCCTCTAGGAATCCCTGCCCTGCTTAGGAGAAAGCATAGCCTGTGACGTGTTTGCATGCTGGAAGACACAGTGAGCATTCGAAAACCCCCAGCAAAAGGACACAAGATCCAGGAGTGTCCCCTCCTATCCCATGGGAAACATTTGGGGCAGGGGCTGGGGGACCCTAAGATTAAGCACAGGTAGACAGATTGGGATTCGGGGAAGATACTGAAACAGAAACTGGAAATGAGAGACACCGAGGGAAATTAAACCAACTACAGGAAGCGCCTCAGGCTGCAAGGCCCAGGGGATTGTCTGATTAATGACATCCTCCTCGTGTCCCCCCCTCACAAAGTGAGGTGTGCAGAGGCGCTGGCAGGCCAGGCTGGCAGGCACAGAGCTGCCAGTGACCAGACTGCTGGGAGCCCAGGAGCTGGCCCGGAGCCTCGGGGGCACAAAGGATGGCAGGGGACACTGGGTACCCCAGGCGGTACTCCCAGACCCCACCCCTCTGGCTGGCCTCATCCTCTGTGTTCACGCCTCACCTGGAGCCCAGCCCATGCAGGAGGAGGGTGATGCAAAGGGAAGAGATAGGATCTGGGAGCTGCCCTTGAAGCCCCGCCACCCCAGGAACTGGTAGTGTGACTGCAGTCTCTCCCAGCCTTGGGCTCCTCATCTGCAAAATGGAGATAACCCCCTGACTGGTGAATGTATGAAGGTGGTGGAAGGATTAGAAACCAGAGGTGAGGTACCCAGAACGCATACGTACTGCAACAGAGTTCTAATCACTCCCGTTAATTCTGTACACAACACATCCCACGGCCCACCACGACTCGCGGTGAAGGCATCCCATAGAACACTTGTAATGAGCCAATTAGGACTGAACAAGAACATGCGAAAGTCCTGCATCTTCGAGGGCAGGAGTGGGGACTTTCTGCTGTCTCTGTGCTCTGACGCGTGCTCCTGGGCTGCCCACCCTGTAGCCCCTGAGCGGAAGCACGAAACAGTGCTCGTCCTACAAACCACTTCCAATTCCCTGATGGCATTTGTCATTCATGTGTTCATTCATGTGTCAAGTATTTACCTAGTGTTACTGAGTGTGAGACATTTCTCGAATGCTAGCCCTGGGTGGCAGGGGCCCCAGGGTCTTCCCCCCTTTGGGAGGCTCTGATGATGACAATGAGGGCGATACTCACAATGGGACACTAAGGCCAGCACTTGCTGAGTGCTCGATGAACACCAGCCACTCGCTCAGCCTTTCCACATCCCGGTTCCTTTAATAATCCCCACAGCTATGATTGTTAGACACGATTATTGTCCCCCTGACAAACGAGACAACTGAGGCCCAGAGTTTAAGTTGTCCAGCTGGTAGCCAAGGACAGTCCCTACCAGGCTTCTTGGGCACTGGCTTTCTCAACCCAGTTTGGGTGAGAAAAAGAAAATCCAAGAATGAAAGCAGTTTAATGGCTGGACCTAGAATTGAGTTGAACTCCGGTCCTGTGAGTCACCTTGTGGCTCTTCCGGTAGGTGACAGGAAACCATAAATAATGGAATCTGTTCTTGCAGGGCATGTAAACCCCTGTCCCTGCCAAGCGTTTAGAAAGGGGTTTCTGGGGAGTTGGTGGCAAGGAGAATCCCTGAAGGGCAGAAGCAGCGAGTCCAATGCAATGGTGCAGACCGAGCTGCCCCAGGGGGAAGCGACAGAGCACCAGCACCTTCTGAATGGAGGACCAGCTTCGAGGGCTCCAGGCCCTCAGGTCTGCACTGCCCTCCCATGACCCTCCCTGGAGTCAGAGGTCGTTGGAGCCCCTACAGAAGAAAATCTGCATAATCTTAATTAGCAAAGTGATATTAAAAAACTGCCCAGTCTCCTGCAGATTTATAGGGAAGGTAAAATTAAACACCACCTCTAAAACTGGCTATCAGGGAATCTCGTTAGCACTAATGTTCATTTACAGTTTGACTTCCCAACATTTAATTCTTTTTTGGTGGGAGAGAGGGACTGACGATATAAGACCCAGAAAGATGGTTTTATGACTGGTGCAGCTATAAATCAAACTTATAAAGTTCATAAAAATTGTTAAAATGAAAAATGGTTTAATAGGAATATTTTATGGCCCATAACATTATTATAGCTGTTTTATTCCCTCTGCGTTAGGGGTTTAATTGGATCGCCAGAATTCTGGGGATTCTCCCTTTTTATTGGATGGAGGGTAATCTTAAATCAAAATGGCCCAAATGTCTTCAATATGGCTCCTCAGTTATCAGCCCATCCCTATCGGATGGGTGCTGGGCCTGGTCCCCTCGCAGAGCATGGAGTAAGGCACCACCTTTCTCTCTGACTCCCCAAGGGCAGCTGCCCTTTTGGTAGAAACTATTCAAGGTAGCCCAGACATCGTAGCGTGCAGGCCAGGAAGAAATCAGAGCCAAAAGGGACAGCGTATGACTTGAGATAAAATCCCAGATGATCCTGTAGAGGGAGGAGAATATGCGCTCTGGAGCCCGCCAGATCTGGCTACCAACATTCGCTCTAACTATGTGACCTTGAAGATGTTGCTTAGCCTCCCCCGCTCCCGTCTCTTCATCTGTAAAATGGGAGTAACTGTCCTGAACTCACAGGACAGATAGCGGCCACATCTAGCCCCGCTCTGTCCCGTGGAAACATAGTGCAAACCACACATGCAAGGTGCCTGTGTAATTTTAAACTTTTTACTAAGCACATTAAAAAGCAAACATTGGCAGATGAAATTAATGTTAACAATGTATTTAATTTAACCTAATCAATCTAAAATAAGTAGTGTTTCACTGTGTAATCAATATAAAGATTATTAGTGAGACCGTTTAGGTCCTTTTATTTATGCTGCATCATCAGAATCCAGCGTATCTTGCACATTGCTAGCACACCCCACTGCAGATGCTTAGAGTGGGTCCTGGTTGTCACTGACCGCTTTTCAGGTGCTCAGCAGTCACCTGTGACAAGAAGCTACCACACCAGCAGTGCCACTCTGGCCCAATAACAGTGCAAAGCATTGCGTGACTGCTGTTTTGGGTCTTCCTAAATTCCTCACTGCCTGCCGCTCAGATCCCATAACCCCCACCATACTTGGCTGTGTAAAGTCCCGTGATACCCGCGTTCACCCGTACTGTGTCTTCTGCACCCGCTCAGGTGTCAGACAGGTCGGTGGTGGCCCTGGTCCCCAAACAGACCTCTTCCTACAACATGCCCGCCTCTGCCAGCATCTCCCGGACGTCCATCAGCAGATACGGTGAGCCCCGGGGAGGCAGCCCAGCAGCTCAGACTGGGGCCTGCGGGTCCCCGGCTCCACTAACCCCTCCTCTCAGGGCTAAGCCCCCTGTCCGGCTGCCACTCAAAGGCAACGGCTCATTTGCTCCCGTTCCCACCAATCCAGCCCTCAGCTGAAGGAGTAGGGCCCTGTGCCCTTCCTCTGAAGCAGCAGGCTTGGGAAGGAGTCAGGGTGGCTCCTTGTTCTAGAAAAGACTACGGGCTCCTCTTCCTCATGCCAAGCAGACATCCCTGAAGTAACCCAGCAAGTGTGAGGTCTACAGTCCGTTTCTGGTGGCACCCAGATTGTTGAGTGAATGCACAGGTGGGCGGGAGTCCAGAATGAACTGGCCAGCCACAGGATGGCCTGAGGCACTCAGAGCCCTGCACCTCGCTCCCTCCAGACTCCTCCTTCAGGTACACGGGCAGCCCTGACAGCCTGCGCTCCCGGGCCCCCATGATCACCCCAGACCTGGAGAGTGGGGTCAAGATTTGGCACCTGGTGAAGAACCATGACCACGGCGACCAGAAGGAGGGTGACCGGGGCAGCAAGATGGTGTCTGAGATCTACCTGACCCGGCTGCTGGCCACCAAGGTAACTCCCGCTCTGCTCTGCCCAGGCCAGGAAGCCCTGGAGGGCCCATGGAGATGGGACATGGTCCAGGACCATGGACGGAGTCCCCAGGGCATCGGCCCCGTGACAAAGCGGCAATGGACCCACTGCTCCCCTGAGAATGCTGTTTCCCTCAGTCCGGGCCCCTCCCGCAGGAAGACCCTACTGTTGTGTAAGCCTGGCAGATGTCCCCCGCTCCACCCCACTGCCTTTTCTACCCCTTTCTGGCTGAACTGGGAGAGAAAGCAGAAGGCCCCATCCTGCCAACGGTCCAAGGGAAGGCGCTCTCTCCTCGCCTCAGCCCCACTGCCCCACATGTTGATGGAGGTGGAGGCAGCATCTTCTAGCCTTGCCAGTAGAGGATGAAATAACTCTTAAGGATGTCAGCCACATGGCTCCTGTCCCCAAGTCGGGCTAGATTTCCCCCACTGAGCCCACAGCAGTGCTGCTGAGTTTCCAGCAGCACCGTCCAACTCACAGCCCCAGTCTTGCTCCCAGAAAGCCCAGAGCCATTGTCTCAGACCCCATCTCTCCATTTCTGCTCTGCCCAAGTATGCCCAGTGACGCTCGAAGACCAGCAGAGAGGGGCAGAGAAGGCAAAGCTAGCAGTTCAGGTGGCCCGGAGCCTGCACACAGTGGGACCCAGGCTCGGTCTGCCCTTGCCTGAGAGCCCCGGAAGTCCGTGCTCCAGATGCCACTCGGCCCAGGTCACTAGTTGCCGGAGGCTCTTTGTACTTCCTGTCAGACCCTCCTGGGCGCTGCCAGGCTCCAGCCAGGAGGCCCCTGTCCTCCCACTGTGCCCCCGCCCTTGGGAAGCCTGGGCTCAGCGCACTTCCTGTCTTCCCATCACAGGCCCTGAGCCCGCCTGCTCTCGCAGCCGCAGGCAGCTGCAGATGAGAGCAGAGGCTCTGCAGATCCTCAGCCCCTCCCACCTCGCCACACTACACACAGCCTCTCCTCACAGCTGGCTCCCAGGCAAGATGGGCCCAGGGCACCATCTGCTGTGCCCTCCCTCCACCCACTTCACACTGTCCCCTCTGCTCCCCCAGGGCACCCTGCAGAAGTTTGTGGATGACCTGTTTGAGACCTTGTTCAGCACTGTGCACCGGGGCAGTGCCCTGCCCCTAGCCATCAAATACATGTTTGACTTCCTGGACGAGCAGGCAGACAGACACAGCATCCACGACACCGATGTTCGGCACACCTGGAAGAGCAACTGGTAACCCCAGGGGTGCCCCGCAGGAGGTGCAGCCTGCAGAGGCCCAGAGCTGGGGGTGGGGGCAGCAGGACCCTGGACATGCCAGGCAAGCTGTTCCTAGCTGGGGCTGCGTGACTGGAGGCTCCTAGAACACACAGCGCACGCACACTGTGCACAGCAGTGTGGTTTCCGGGCTGCTGCTCCCAGGGACTGCCTGCTCCCAGGGGCTGCCGGCTGGAACTCTCATGCACAGCTAAGCTCTGCCCATGCAGCCTGGTTGCCTCCCCCGGGAGTGCCCTCCCCTGACTCTGAAACCTCTGGTCTTCAGGACAGGGAGCTGGGGCACCTACGCAGAGGTTGCATTGGAAGCTGGCAGCGGAGCAGAGCCAGGTTCTGCTAGGCATTCTGACTGAGACAGGACGGTGGTACAGTGGGCAGGAAGTGGGGAGAGAGCACACACCTGCTGCAGCCTTGAATCCACAGCTCCGAGTTCCGGGGCAAACTTGATCCCTTAAGCCCATTATTCCCCCAACACCATAGCTCTCAGGAAGCAGCGGGCAGAGTGTCCCGCAGCTGTGCTGTCCTCCCTAGCCACCTCCACATCCAGACCAGCAGTGGAGGACAGCTCCCTTGGCTGTCAGGAGACTTCCCTTCCTGCTGTGTGACCCTGGACCACAGGCCAAGCTAAGCACTGGCTTTCGGGTCAGACAGGGCCTGGCCAAGCCAGAGTCAGAGGCTTCCTCTGGGGGAGAGTGGGGAGAGGTGAGGCCCTGGCATTTGGGTTGGGCAGGGCGCCCACGCAGCTGTCTGGAGTCAGCGATCTCAGAAAACAGAGCTGACACAGATGGGCCCAGGCTGTTATTTGGGAATCAAAAGTCCTAGCAACCAGCAAAACAGTTTAGAAAGAGCCAACCCTGACCCCTTCTACTCCTGGCTTCTGGGAGGTGTTGTGGTGGCTGACCCCCTGCTTCTGCAGCTTTGATCACAGTGCAGGGAAAACAGAGAGGCTGGGTGGTTGTGGAGCGAGGCACCCACAGTGGAGGACCCCAGGGTGGGCCTTTCCTCTGCCTCTCAGTGACAGGATTTGAGGGATCTTCGCCCAGCACCGGGTGAAGGCAGTCTGGGGAAATCAGAGCAAGTTCTGAGTTATCCAACCTGTGCCTTCTGTGGGCTGGCCAGACCCACACAACGGAGCCGCACTCCCCTGGTGTTGTGGTGGGCAGAGCCCCTGGTCCAGACTTTGTCCAAGAAATATGATCAGAAGGCCTCCAGGTTGCCGGGAGGAGGAGGACCAAAGATATGCACTGGCTCTCAGCTGAGGCAGCTCCTTTCAGGTCAGCGGAAAGTGACCAAGTCAAGCAGAAATCACAGCAGGCGGCCTTGGGGGGACGGACAGTGGCCTTTCCCAAGATCTGCCATGACAAGGACATCTGGGGAAGCCTGGAGTCTGTGAGACTCAAGGCATGACAGAGAAGGGGATAGCCGGCCATCGTGCCTGGGGTGGAGGACAAGCCTGGGGACAGGGCTCACTGCACACAGGCATGAAAGGGTTAAGGCCGGAAGGCAGCTGGAAAAAGGCAGAACTGGAAAGGAGGGGACAGCAGCTGTTCAGGTTTAGAAGGAGGGTAAATGGGCTTTTCTGCCTCATGGTCCCAGGAACAGAAAAGCTTAAAAATTCCTCTGCTTAAAAATTCCCGAGTCGCTGAAGAAAGTCTCCTAACTACTGATGGCTCGTCTTGGGTTGGGAGAACTGGGAGCGACAGTGGAGCTTTCCCAGGGTGCCCACATCACATCGGCCTCCTCCTCCCTCTGCCCCTACCGGGACACAAGAAAGCCCTGGGGAGAGGCGTGAAAGAACTTGCCCCAGGGAGCCCATTCCCGGCCCCGCTGGGCAAGGCCAGCCCTGGGAAGCGGCGGTGGCAGCCGGGCTGGGCGGAGAGAGCAGGTGGTGCCCTTTGTGCCCACTCAGGCAGTGCCTGGGGCGGCCGGCGGCCTCCTTCCGGACAATGGCCACGGACGCTGGAGGGGAGCCTGGTGGCTTTGTTTGAAGCTCTGAGAAAACTGTGCTGTCCTCTGTACTTGGGCTCCCCTTGGGGCACTGAGGCCTTAGAAAAGCCTGGCAGAGGGGCCGGGCCCAGGCACACCCACCCCACCGGTGTTAGGGAACGGGTCAGGGGCCTGCTGAGCCCAAGGCCCTTCTCCTCCTCCCCCAGGCTCAGCAGCAGCAGCTCGGCTGAGCGAGCAGCCCTTTGCTATGATTTCATTCCCCACCTTCAGATAGAAGGTGTGATTCTTGGGGTGCTCTGCCTCCTCCCGCAGCCTGCCCCTGCGCTTCTGGGTGAACGTGATCAAGAACCCGCAGTTCGTGTTCGACATCCACAAGGGCAGCATCACGGACGCCTGCCTGTCAGTGGTGGCCCAGACCTTCATGGACTCCTGCTCCACCTCGGAGCACCGGCTGGGCAAGGACTCACCCTCCAACAAACTGCTCTACGCCAAGGACATCCCCAGCTACAAGAGCTGGGTGGAGAGGTGTGCAGATGCGGGCTGGGAACCTCACACTCCTCCCTCCCTCGCTCCGATGTTCCGCTTGGAGGGGTGGAAGGCTGTGTTTGTGCCATGGGAAGTGATGATTATTATCCTGATTACCTGTATTTAGCACAGGCTAAGCAACAGAACAGCACCATGGTAAAGACCTTGTGTGTGCCATCTCACTGAAATGCCAGTGGCACTGGGTGTGGCACACATTTGTCATCCCAGCGCTCTGAGAGGCTACAGCAAGAGGATCACAAGGTCAAGCTCAGCCTCAGCAACTAGTAGCTTCATGAGACCCCGTCTCCAAATTAAAAACATAAGGGCTGGGGATGTGGGGCATCTGGATTCAGTCCTCAATACCGCAGACACACACACACACACACACACACACACACACACACGTGCACGCACGCACACACATGCACACATGCAGTCCAGTGAAGTTGTCACTGACCATATCTTGCCTCAGGTCACCGCTAGCAGGTAGCATAGCTGGGGTTTGAGTACAAGGATTCTGGCCGGAGTCTGGGCTTCTACCCACTCTGTCAGGCCCTGCAGCCCAGAGCTAGAAGCTGGATGGAGTCTTCTGAAGAAGCTCTGGTCTCCAGCTTCAGCCTCAACTTGAGGCCAGCATGAGAGAAATGAGGGGCAGGAGCAGCCGGTGCAGCCAGGGACTGGGGCCAGGTTAGAGGCAGGCAGACCCTTGCCATGTCCTCATCGAGGGCCTTGTCCTGTGTGCGGCAGATACTATGCAGACATCGCCAAACTCCCCGCCATCAGCGACCAGGACATGAACGCCTACCTCGCCGAGCAGTCCCGCCTGCACGCTGCAGAGTTCAACATGCTGAGCGCCCTCAATGAGATCTACTCGTATGTCAGCAAGTACAGCGAGGAGGTAAGGCAGGGCCATGCAGGCACAGAGGCAGTGTGCAGGCAGTCAGGGCACAGGCCCACTCTGTCCTTATGTAACAATGGTGCAAGGACCCTGGCTAAGAAAACTGTTTGGAGTCAAAAGCCCATGAGCTCAGAATCATTATCGTTTCTTTATAAGGCAGCCTAACGGCTCCCTGATTTCTTGGGTGCTTTCTTATACATTGTTGTCTCTTTCACCCAATGTTAATACAATAAATAGCACTTTTAATAATTTGATTGTTTTTCAATTAAGATCATTGTATGATTGTCTCAATTACTTTTCTCTCATTGCTGAGACAAAATACCTGACACCCATAGTTAAAGGAGGAAAGGCTTATTTCTGCTCACAGTTTGCAGAGGTTTCAGTCCATAGTTGGCTGGCTCCGAGGCAGAGTGGCATGGCAGAGGGGCATTGCGGAGGAGAAACAGTTCATGGTGGGCAGAAGGTGGCAAAGCAAGCAAGAGGGACAAGACAAGCCTCTTTTTGCCCCTTATTTGTATCCAGGCTACCAGGATTAGGGTCAATAATAGCTATCACATAGTGCTTTCTATGTCCCAATACTGTTTTAAACTATATAATTTATATATACATATGTACATATATTTAGATGATGTGTGCATTATAATCATGCACTACATGTTGACATTTGGTCATCAGCACATCATATGCCTGATGGTGGCCTCTTGAGATTATAATGGAGCTGAAATGTCTCTGTCTGACCTCCTAGCCATCTTACTGTCCCATTACAAGGCTTTGCTCACATTCACGGTGATGCTGGTGTAAACACCTCTCCTATTCCAGCAGCCAGTCTGCAAAAGTGTGGCACACGCATTTGGGTCCAGTAGTAATGCTTGATATTAAAGGGCTGTTACTGGCTTACACGTTTACTATACTAGACTTTTTATCATCATTTTAGAATATATTCTTTCTACTTACAAAATAAAACGGCTGACCTTAGAGTAGGACACTGCATTATACCAGCTACAGCTGGCCTCACACATCTTGTTTTCTGTGCTTCTTGATATCATTTTCTTTTGTCCTTGATTTAATTTCACATTTGTGTGATGCCAAAGCTATCCAATGACCCATTTCTCAGGAAGTGCCCTTATGGTTAAGCAGTGCATGATTGTATATTAATTAAATGTATTCGTTCAGTTAATCATTTCAGTTACCAGAAGTTATGGAAGCGTAGACAGAAGGGTGTAGGCTCCATGGGCAGTGTCTGGGCACCTGGCCTGCAGTCACTCCCTCTGCTCTGTCCCTCAGCTCATTGGGGCCCTGGAGCAGGACGAGCAGGCTCGGCGGCAGCGGCTGGCCTACAAAGTGGAGCAGCTAATCAGCGCCATGTCCATCGAGAGCTAAGAGGAGGCCTGCCGTCCTGGGACAAGGAACCCATCCAAGCCGTCACCCTGGAGTCTCGGAAGGAAAGACAAGTGCAGGGGACCAGCCCCGAGCTTGCTGCCCCTGAGGCCCCATCCTGGGGAAAGGGGTGGGCCGCCAGCCAGGTTCCGTCACAGCCAGTTCCTGTGGGGAGGAGAGCGGGCGTCGGCCGTCCATGGCAGCGGCACCTAGGGCTGCCACCAGGCGAGGAAAAGGCGGCCCTTCCAGCTGAGAGGCTCAGGCTCGCTGGTCCTGCCTCTGTGACTGCTGCTTTGCATGAAACTCATTTGATGTATATTGGGGAAATAATGAGAACTTTATTTAATTTTTTTAAGAAAAAGGGAAAAAAACAGAAATAAAACAAAACAAAAAGCCGTCCTGTTAATCCCGTCCAACTTTGTTTAACTCTGACTTCCACCCCTTCCTTCTAGTCCCTGTCGTCTCCCCTTCTTCGTGTAAGTCCTCTGTCCAAATGGCAGGAAAAACCACGGAGAGCTGCAGAGAGAAGCCAGAGGCCAGAGGAGGTCTCCTTTCTCTCCAGGTAGAAAGCAGGAAACACAGCGGGAGGAGAATGGACGAGCACAGATCCACACCAAACACTTCGCAAACCCAGAAGCTGGTCAGACCTGGAAGCTGCTGGCAGCCGGGAGAGCGTAGGCACTGGGGCACCGTGGAACTGGGCACACAGCGCAAAGCCATCGCGTTGCCGTGCCTGGCTGGCAGGGACTTGAGCTTTACACCCACACACTGTCCGATCTCATCTCCAGAGAGAAGGGCTATCTATAGCGCACCAGTGCTTTCTGTACTGTTTCGGGGTTTATTTAATCCCAAACCTTGGCAGAGTAGGAACGGTCCTGAAAACGACCAAGGGATGCGTCGGAGAGGCGGGCCTCCCAGACCAGACACCTGGCTTCCCAGGGACAGCAGCAGCTCAGCCCCTCTTCAGGCCCCGCCCTGAGGCAGGGACATTCTGGGGCGTGCCAGCCTGGTCTCCAGGAGGTCCCCTCAGGGTTGACTGGGGACAGGGTGTTTGGCTTTGGATTCCACTCCAGTCATCCCGTGGTGGTTCCCGGCAATTAAAGAGAAAACAAAAATCAAACACTGTTTACAGCAAGCAATACTTGAAGAGCATAGGTTTAAGAAGCTGCAGTATTTATTGTTATACTTTCTTTCATTCTCTCGTGCCTGGAGAGGGGAGACAACCCTTCGCTCACATCCCCAAGCTCCTGACCACCTAGGCGGACCACACTAGCCTCAGCAGATGTGACTGCCATGTCCCCAACTCACTGTCCCCTTCTGCCTCCGTGGACCTGTGGGATCGAAGGACAAGTGAATGTATTCTCACTGGGCTCCTTTCCTTCTCTCTCCTGCTGACTCCTACAAGCATGGATGGCCAGTGTGCCTGAGCGTAGTTTCCCAACCAAGAGACCAAAGCCCTGCGCTTGGGTCCAGAAGCCCCCAAGAAGCTGATGGAGTGATTCAAAGGAGGACACCTCTGGTGGCAGCAGGACATTGCACAAGGGTCCACCAGGAAGTCCCAGCATCCGTCCTTGGCATGGATCCAAGCAACCAGCTCCAGTTTCTCTACGAGCAGCACTGCAGCCGGGTCAGGAGAGCAGGAGAAAGGCAAAGGGGCAGAGTAAGGGCGGCAAGAGGAGACAATCTCCCCACCCCACCTTCTGCCTTTCTTGGCTCCAGGCATCCCAGCTGCAGTGCTGGGAAAGTAGACCAGCAACCGCAGGAGGGACTGGACCAGGGTCATCTCCTCTGCAGTTAACTCAGCCCCAGCTTCTCCTGCCCGGCTGTACCCCCGGGCCACTCCAGTTCCTGGAGGCTCTGCTGACCACATGCGATTCCCAGGAATCTCTGCCGGGGAGGCAGCATGGAGCCCTGGCTTCCCTCTTTGGCTTGTGGCTTTGGACGGCCATCTAACCACACAGCAGACTTTGCCTGGTCTCTTCAGCTCTAGTTTCTTATCTGAATGCAGCTGGCAAATGGGAAGAGAAAAGCATTCAGCAAAATACTCAGGAAACTTGCTGTTTTCATTATGATTCACAACCAGCCATGCCAAGGCCACTTTCTTCTGATGATGTACTTCTGTAGATGTTCCCTGAGCCTTGACAGCCTGAAAGGAAGCCTAATGACAGGCCCTGTGCACTAAGCCAAAGTGTTTGCTCCTCACAGCACCCAAAGCTCATCAGCTCGGAGCCCATCATGTATGGAAATGCAAGGAAAAGAGACATGGCCAGAGGGACACCAGTGGCGACTTTGTGATCCCCAGGGAAAATTCCAGCCCCAGGTGCATGAAGGGTTGGTTCCTGGTCACACTGCTGCTCAGGCTGGCATCCAGGGCTCTGTTTTGCCAAGAAGTCAAAACCAGTCACACATCTCTTTCGGCGGCATCTGACCCTCGCCCCTATGGATTTACCTCGTGTTTCCCAACGGCCACTTTGGTGACCACACGCTGTCCCTGAGGAGGCGTCCCTGCAGGTGCCTGGGGAGTATGGAGGACCATGGGGATGAAGAGAGGAGTGGAAAGGACCACAGCCAGCCGTGGATGGTCTGGCCACGTTCCTCGGGATTCCATGGCGGGGGGCGGGGGGCGTAAGCTGGCAAAGGAAGTGGCAGAGCAACATCCCTACAGGGGAAGACAAAGGAAAACTGGCTGCACACAGGCCAGGCCAGGAGGCCGCTGGCTGTAGCCGGCCCCATTCTAGCTTCCCACCTACCCACCCTCCACCAGCTCTTGGCTTGGGACCCCAAGACCCCATGGAAAGTCCCTGTGGAATGGGGAGGAGACGAAGGTTGTTCCCTCCCTTCTTGCTGTTTTCCAATCTGAGGATATTTTGGCCTCGTGTGAAGAAGTATGGAACCCACAGTCCCTCCCCACAAGAAGCCACCCATCCTGCGGGGAAGCAGGGAGGCTCCCCAAGGTCTGTCCAGCTGCGCTTGTTCTGTTGAGCCTTGGAAGAGACAACTCTCGGGAAGGAGCAGCACCCCCAAAGGCCTGGCAAGACCGACGATGCCAGTGAATGAAATGGAAGCCTGGCTGACCCTGCGGCCCCGTTCCCGCCCTCTGCATGGCCAGGTGCCTGTGTCCGCCATCCTAGTCCTACCTCTGACCACTACATGGCTCGCAAAACCCTCTCCCATCCTCCTCAGGGATGAGCTGCTAACCTCAATGGAGGGGAGGAGTTGTTTCGTGCATCCACTCATGCAGAGAATCTTCGTGAGCAGCAACGGTTCGCAAGGTGCTGGAAAAGTGAGTGACAAGAGTCCTTCTCCTACCAGATGTCTGTACTCCAGGCTGCTGGTTCCTGCAGCGGGCCCAGTCCTCCTCCCCCACTGGCAGAGCTCCTGTCACACAGAAAGGGAGTGCGGTGAAGAACACAAGCTGACCCACCCAGCTGCCTTGCCTTCCCCTGGGGACAGCCCCCAGCAAGGAGAGTTGCTCTCATTCCACTGCTGCCCACTCCTCTGCTGGCACTGCCTCTGCTGCTTCAGCGCCTGTCCTTCCCTCAGCCCCAGCAAAGGAGCACAAGAGGAGCAGCCGAGGCCTTGGCCCTGCTGAGCAGGAAGGAGCACCAGTGGGTGTGCAAGGACTAGGAGTGGTCTGGACAGGGCTAATGGACCCTGTTGGGAAGCCTCAGCCTGACCACTGCCAGCCTGTCCCCGTGACCTGCCACTGGGCACGCTGCTATGGCGGAGCCCTTTACCAGCCACGCTGTGCCACGCTGACTCCGGGGCCTGGACGCAGACAAGGAAGAAGTGAGAGGCTGGGATGCAGTGAGCCAGAGATGCAAAGCAGCTTCCAGACGCAGGGCCTTGGAGCTGATCCCTTGGGGGCGGGACTCGAGAGATGGCGTTCAGGGTCTCAGGACGTCTTGAGAGCCATAGCAGCCTTTCCAGAACTCCAGTCTCGCTTCCTTGTCTCCATCCTTTCTTCCGGGTTCCCCAGAGTGGAATTTACTGTCCGGGCCTCAGGGATGCCTCTGCATGAAGGATAATGTGTCACTCTGAGGGGTTTCAGAGAATGTCTTGACAGACGATCAGGACAACTCCTCAACAGCAGGGCCTCCTCAGCTCAGTAAGGAAACTGGAGGTTCCTCGGCCTTTCCTGGATTCCCCTTCTCACTTCCACCCTACAAAGCTCTCCCTGGCGCTGCACCTTTTCTGCTGGTGCCCCTGGCGCTCCGGCCTCACCTGAGGGGGGTGGGAGGCTGCCCCGTCTTCGCTCTGACTGTATCTGACGTCCATGTCGGCATCCGCAGCCGAGAGCTGCCACCACGGGGCAGATGCCCAAGTCAGGGGAGGAGGGACGAGCACTGTACCACACAACACCAGGGACTGCGCCCAGCGCCTCTCCCAGCTCCTCCCACTCAAACCCACTCCCCATGACACACTGGAACCTGTACTATATCTATTTTTAAGAAAATACAATGATGGTTGTCTGGTTTTGTTGTTTTTATAGGTGTTGTGGAATAATAAGAAAATTATTTAAAATGTTCCAGTAAAATGGGGTTTTTTGTTATTCTAATATATTATCCTGTACTTATTGTAAATATGAAACACTCCTATTTTGCAAGCCAAGGACACAATTTGTACTGTTGTTATATACAAATAAAGTTTACTGGATAAAAAAAACTTAAATCCTCAAATAAACTTGACTTTTTTTGGCAGCATATACGCAGAATAACTCACAGGCCTATTTCAAAGTGGGGTGCTTGCAGAAAGATGAGCTAAGTTGTTTTGAGGAAGTTCTAGAATTCTCTCTGGAGCCAGAGCTTATTAATGTCACCAGCATCATAACACGCACACACGCACACACACACTCTGCTTCTGCTGAACCCATGGGTGAACACCGCCCCCTAGCCCCAGGACCCCAGAATACAGCTCCCCAGCGCTGCAGCCTCGGGGTGGAGGCCCCTTCCCAGACCCGAGTGAGGACATCCACCCAGTCTTCCCTTCCCGGAAAGCACAGGCGTTCATCTGTGCGAATCCCTTGAGGAGCATGGCTTGGCCCCGAGCTATGTGGGGAAGGAATGGAAATGAAAAGGCAAGAATGTAGCAGTCAGCAATGATTTCAGTGTGGTCCAACCCTAAGGACTCTGAGGAGGGAATGTTGCAGCCAGGCATTGGGAAGGATCACAAAGTTAAGTCTTTGTTTCTTTATTTTGTTGTTCTCTTTTTACTTTCTTTTTTCCTTATTGTCTATTGCGGGAAAGATACCAAGAAGCGTGTACTGCCGGGTCCAGCGCAGAGCAGCAGAGCGGGAAACCATGTGGTCGAGGGCACACAGTTCACAGCACTGCCAGGAGGCTGCCCCGTAGCAAAGCAACCACACGCCCCAACCCTTGGCGCCCTCCGACCTGACG